TTTCCTGTCAATTTCACTCGGGGCAAAATGAACCTGAAAAAAAGCCGGATAATTATGGCTTTTTCGGGTTCAGCTATACTGGTAGCCGAATCATAAATTTTAATGTACTTTTATCTCTGATATGCTAATAAAGGTTGTCTGTCTGTCTACAGATCTCTGATCTGTATTCGGCTTATGTGATACCCAAAAAATAGCGACAAGGTATTTTTCAGGTATTTTTTCGGTTTGGCTATAGCCGAATGCACACCCCTAGTACAGTTACTTCCTAGCTACAATGATTCATGGGGTCGCCTTACATCAGAAGCAACTTGACAGCATGTAACACATACGTGCAGTACCTTCTTCATCCCCAGGGGCCGCTGGATTCTCCAAGCAGCACTGCGTTTTGTGGCCCAAACTGCAGTCAGATTCCATCATTACACACCACACACTTCCCAGTTACACACTGCACATGTTCAGACTTAGCATTACATACCAATACCAACAATATTAAAATTGTCATGTAACATTGAACCAAGGGATCTATTGCTTGCAATTTAACAAGTGGTTCTGCTTCTTTTAACCAGCGAGCAAATATTTTTGATTGATGAATATTCAATAGGTCTAGTAGGGGTCAGAGAAGATGTACACCTTTGACACTGCTCTGACTTAGGGGTGCATTAGACAGAGCAGCGTTAGGCAACTGCCACGAACCCAGTGCTACTTAAAGTAACCAATTCTTCACCTGTGACCTGCTTTATACAGCCTGAGGCAGAAGCAAGGTAGACAAGGAGAATGGAGCCACAGGGCCACTATACTTCCTGTTCTATTCTGTCACAGCTCCTCTTGTCCACCCTTTTCTACCCAAAAGCTGTTACAAGCTTGTCTCCATTTTTCCCCTCAGTCAGTGGTGGGCAAAGGGAAGCAAGGGAACCTGTTAAAAGAGCAGGAACAAACATATAGGAGCTGTATCCTCCTGCTGTCTGGAGCCATTTAAGACAGCCAGGCTTTGCAACCAACAACAAGGAAGCACTAAGGCTAGGACAGGGTCTGTCCGGCCCCGCCCCAGCCCCCTCAAAGAGGTTGAGGGTGGTACCTGAAACTGCAGTATTCCTTATCATTTATCCCCAGTCGTCTAGGTGTTTAAAGTAGTTATGTGACTACGCCAAAAACAGATGTTGACTCAGAAACAAGTAGCTAGTTTTGAACTTTGTATGGTTATGTATTCAAGAAATACCTGCTTTTCAACAGTAAAAGAAAAAAAGAAATCCATTAGTATCCTGATACTGTTACAACATTCACAGACTTGACAGAGGACAACAGATCTGACTGACCTCAAAGTAACCAGGGGCTACTGACAGATCAAAAATCCAGTTGCTGGATCTTCCTTATACCACAGATACGGCTTCAAGCTCTCCTAGATGCCTTTTTGCTATACTGAAGAAAGTTTAAAATTGGTCATTCAAAAAAAACAACAACAACACCATTATAGCCAAAGAATGACTGCTCCTTCAAAAGAGGAAGGCCACCTTAAACATTTTGCTTAGAAAATGTCAGTTTCTGTCATGGGCTCTCCCCACTCATGATGCATCTGCACATCCCTTCTTGTGTACGTCTGTCAGTCATATTCTTGGATCAGGGATTGTTGCCTGATCCCAGTGGCAGGCTGCGCATGGCATGGAGTCCTATGCCCAGAAGGGGCATTTTCCTGTTTCCTTACCCCAGCTGAGTTTAAATTCTGTGGACTCAGCAGGATGAAGCCTCCACATTTAGAAGAGCAAGATTTGAGTCCCGTCGCACCTTAAAGACTGACAAGATTTCCAGGCTGTTAGCTTCTGAGAGTCAAATCTCCCTTCTTGGTATCTGATGAAGGGAGCTTCAACTCTCGAACAGTCATAGCCTGGAAGTCTTGTCCGTCTTTAAGGTGCCACTGGACTCTAACTTTGCTCTTCTGCTGCAGACCGTCATGGCTATGTAACTATCCACATTTAGAGGTGGTCTAACATTCTTCCATATCAGTGCTAAGAGACAAATCGGGGGAGGTCTTGGCCTCTGTGGTGTGTTTGTTGGCCCTCCAGGGCAACTGGTTGGCCACTACGTGAAGCAGGATGTTGGATTAGACAGCTCACTGGTCTGATCCAACAAGGCATTTTTGAAGAATGGAAATTCAAAGGCACATATTTTTAAAAGGTGACCCCAAATTGTCAACATGCCAAAATGAGGGCAGTGATTAAACGGGAATTGGTAACGGAAGGTACAGCAGTGTTTCCCAGACAATGTTGCCAGGGTTTGCTAGAGTTTTATGAGTGTTATGAAAGTTAAATTACTAGAATAGACCCCGTTTTAAAACTTGCATGAACCTAAGACCCCTAACCTGGTAGCTGCCTCTTTTGTGCCTCCTGTTGCATCTCTGAATGATGCAGTGGTACCTGATATACTCTATTCCAGTATGGAGCCTGGATTGATTGAATGAGGGCATAGTTACATGGAGGAGTCTACTATCTGCAAGTCTGCAAAAATCATTTTTCTGGGCTTTTCTCCTTCCAGATAGGTTGAACACCTAAAACAGCAACTTCATGAACAGATACAGGGACAGAAGATCTTTCTCATTCTGGGAGTAAACTTTTATAGGCATAAGATTGCGCCTCCAGTTTTAATTTGCAAAGGTTGTGTGCATTGGCTATCCGACCTGGGGAAACGCTAAAACAGGTGTTCAGAGCATACATACTTGGTGGCAGGGTATTTAGCGGACCCAGCAAGCCTTCTTACATGTGGACTACTGCATGCCAGTAGGATTTTTGCCAACTAAAGACAGGATCCCCTTTCAAATATTTATTTATTTAACTTTTACCCTGCTCTCTCTGCCAAAGCAGGCTCAGGACAGCTTACATAAAACCAATAAAACAATATACAATTCGGAGTAAAATACATAAACATTATAAAACCATTTGTACAATACAATACAATACAATAAAGTGCATTTGAGACATGTTCCACAATGCAGCCACTTAGGATAGCTTCAGCTGGCAGATTGGCACAGGCTTGGCCGATAGGTGCTGCTCTTACTGGAATGCCTGGCAGAAAAGCTCCATCTTCACGGCCCTGCAGAACTAATGGAGGTCCCGCAGGGCCCTGATCTCACCAGGAAGCTCACTCCAGTAAGTCGGTGCCACCAAGGAAAATGCCCTGGTCCTGGTCGATGTCAGCCTGGCGTCCTTAGGACCAGGGAAGGCCAGGTGATTTTGTGTTCCTGATCGCAGTACTCTGTGGGGAACATGTGGGGAAAGGCGGTCCCTCAGGTAGGCAGGCCCCTGACCATAAAGGGCTTTAAAGGTCCAAACCAGCACCTTGAAGCGACTCTGGAATGCTGTTGGCAACCAGTGCAGTGACTTTAGCACATGCTGGATGTGATCCCGCCTAGGGAGACCCATCAACAGCCTGGGCGCTGCATTTTGCACCAGCTGCAGCTTCCGGAGTTGCACCAAGGGCAGCCCCATGTAGAGAGCATTGCAGTAGTCCAGCCTCAAGGTGTCCATAGCGTGGATCACTGAATCCAGATCTTTGTGTTCGAGGAAGGGAACCAACTGCCTAATCAGCCGAAGATGGTAAAAGGCTGCTTTGGCAGCTGCTGCTACCTGGGCCTCCATTGTCAAGGAAGCATCCAGGAGCACTCCCAAGCTTCTGACCTTGGCGCTGGCACCAATTGTGCCCCATCGAAGGCCGGTAGTGGGGTCCCTACCCCCGAGCCGCTCCAATTCAGGCACAGAACCTCCGTCTTCATCGGATTCAATTTCAGTCGGCTCAGCCTAAGCCATCCAGCCACGTCCTGTAACGCCTGGTCCAGACCTTCCGAAGTAGAGTCAGACTGACTGCCGAACAACAGATAGAGCTAGGTGTCATCCGCGTATTGGTGACACCCGCCTAGCCCATGCCTCCAAGCAATCTGGGCAAGGGGGCGCATGTAGATGTTAAATATCATTGGTGAGAGCACCGCCCCTTGAGGCACTCCACGGATTAGTGGGTGCCTTCGGGACAGCTGCTCCCCAAGAGCCACCCTTTGTCCTCGACCTTGGAGAAAGACAAGCCATTGCAAGGCGAGCCCCTGAATCCCCATCTCAGCGAGGCGGTGGGTGAGCAACTGGTGGTTGACGCCGGCAACAGGTCTAACAGCAGCAGCACCGCCATCCTGCCGCGATCCAGGTGCCTCCGTAGGTCATCTGTGAGGGCGACCAGTGCTGTCTCTGTCCCATGTCCTGGGCGGAAGCCAGACTGGAAGGGATCTAGCATGGAAGTGTCATCCATAAAGCTCTGCAACTGTATCACCACTGCCCTCTATTAATTTGCCCAAATAGGGCAAACTGGATACTGGCCGATAGTTTGCCAATTCGGCCGGATCTGAGGATGGTTTTTTTAGGAGAGGGCGGATCATTGCTTCCTTGAGAGCCCCTGGGAACAGCCCCCTGGAGAGGGACTTGTTGATAATGTCCCTAAGGTCACCTCGAAACCTCTCGTGGGCAGCTTTAATTAGCCACGAGGGGCACGAGTCCAGGCTGCACGTGGTTGGGCGTACAGTTGAGATCAATCTCAACTTCCTCTAGGCTGAGTGGACTGAAATAATCCAGAATGGGACCAGAAGACGCGCATGGAGCCTTGAGTTCGCTCACTGTCAAATGTGGCAGGAAAGTTGTGGTGGAGCGACAAAACTTTATCTGCAAAATAGCTCTCAAAAGCCTCACAGCCAATATCCAGTTCCCTGATCCCTAATATATCTTTGATTCTCAAGCTGTTGATCTCATTTTTCTGGATCGTTCCAGCAGCGTCTTATAACAGGCCATGTTGTTGCTTGCAGGCTCTTCCTGCAGTTTGTACTGTGTGTTTTGTATACTCACACATCCATTATATACATGATTACATGAACTGCTCTTCTTCCTGATGCTGCAGAGTTGCGTGGGGATATGCAGTAGCAGCCCTCGTTTTAAATTTACAGAGTGGGATTTGATTGATCATTCTGGGTGTTCTAGTTCCAGGTGGCCGAATCTGATCTGGACAGCATTCAGAGCATGTTGGAGTTTGAAACAATGAAAGGAATCCCTGGTGAACTATCTCAAGAGGTACTGTTCTCAGACTTGAAACTTTGGTTAACTGTACTAAGAATTTGCATTGGCTTTGAAATACTTCAGCTGGGGTAATTATCGCTCATATTTTTTGCATCTTAAGCAACTTGGCAAGAAAGGTCATGTTTCTGCTGACCTGAAGAGGTGTGCAGGTTCCACTTAAGTCAGTTTAACCTTCATTTCTTCTCCTAAAGAATCCTCGGAATTGGTGACTGAGGCGGCCGACTTTTCATAAAAGACCTTGGCTATTGCACAAAATAGCAACCTCCATAGCTTTGTGGACCAGCTTGGGTTAAACATGTTTGTTTGAAAGATGAATGCCTTGATTTAGAAAACATGATCTGTATGAGAACAGGTTTCAGCGGGCAGGTCTGTTTGTAAGAGATGGATTGGCAGACTTGGACACTAGGTTGTACTGATCTTAGATGCAGCAGTTGGTTCCCAGCCATTTAGTTTTTTGTGGGGGATACACTATTTATTTATTTATTTAGATTTTTATCCCGCCCTCCCTGTGGAGGGGCTCAGGGCAGGTTACAAAGTTACAAAATCTCAACAACAATAGTTTAAAAAATTAAAACAGTCATTTAAACAGTAGTAAAAACAGCAATCAAGGTTCATATTGCTATGCTAAGTTCAGGTTGATCAGTCAGTGATTTCAGTAGGGGAGGCCAAAGATGGGTTTTGGATGTCCACTGCCTCAACCAAAAGCTCAGTGGAACAGCTCCGTTTTACATGCCCTGTGGAATTGTAATAAATCCCGGATAGGCCCTGATCTCGAGCGGGAGCTTGTTCTACCAGGCTGGGGCCAGGACAGAAAAGGCCCTGGCCCTGGTTGAGGCTAGTCAGACTTCCTTGGGGCTGGGGACAGCCAGTAAATGTTGGTCGATTGAGTGCAATGCTCTGCGGGGCACATATGGAAGAGAGGCGATCCCGAAGATATGCAGGTCCCTGGCCATATAGGGCTTTGAACATCAGAACCTTGAACTGGATCCAGTACTCTATCAGCAGCCAGCACAGTTGCGAGCCTGCACAGGCATCACCATCAGCATACGTGCCACTGCATTCTGCAGTAGCTGCAGAATGTCTGCCACCTTAGCCAAAAGATTACTGAGGAGTGGATGTGATGTCTATAGAAGTACAAATGCAGAGAGCTTTTCCTGACTGCAACTCTGGGTTACCCGATGAAACTGATCAGCACTAGGCTCAGAATGGCCAAAAGAACGTGGGATGTGGTGATAACCACATGCTTTAGTGCTTTTACTAGCAAAAGTTTTGATCCTCTGTGATGCAAAAAAGATTTATGCCTCATTGAAGCAGTGCTAATAACGTACAAAGAACTTTAGGTATCATGTAGTACTATAAATATTCCAACACTCCTTTGTCAATTTTATCATTACACTATATTCAACTGCCTGGGGAAAAAGTATTCACTCTTAAATAGATGAAATTTGGCCTAGAGTTCATTTGAATAACTGAGGCTTTATATGAGGAACTTCATGTTCATTGGCAAGTAAGCAATTTTGATCAATATCAGTGGCGGGGGGGGGGGGGACGACAGATGACAAAACAGGGTGCTTTTTGTTTCCAGTTCTTAACCCTTTCTGTTGAGGTCTTTGCCAAAGCAGTCAGAAATAAAGTAAAAAGTTATGCCATAAAACTAGCTTGATGATAGTTTTATACTTAACAGAACCTGCGATCTTGTTGACAGCAATTCAGAATTTATTATAGGAATGTAGAGAAGTTTCTAGGTTCCTGGTATACTTAATGAAAGTAGAAATTCTGATCAGCAGGCTAACTGGAAGCAAAGGTATGAACACAACAAAATACAAATGGGTTACTAATATATGAAAATATTTAGGAGTCTGTATTTACAAATCTGAATGTTCTAATGAAAACTAATAAAAATACCTGAAATCTCAATTAAAAGAAAGACTTTGGAGTAAGATTAATTCTCCTGACTTAACAGAATCTATACAATGTTGGTTCTACCAGTGATGCTTTGACAGCAATCCTAAGTAGGTCTACCCAGAAGTAAGTTCCGTGTTAATCAATGGGGTATATTCTCAGGAAAATGTCCTGAAGATTGCAGCTCATGTCTTTTTCTAAACATCCCATTGACACTACTTTAAAAAAATATTGCAAAATGGCAGTATTTTATCACAGCTTTAGACACCCTCTTGATAGAGGACAAATGGGAGCTCTGGACCTCCAACTCTGCTATTTAGCGTTTCAGCTAAGAAATAGTCTTCCATTTCTTACAGGGAGCTTTGGCGAACTTTGCATAGACCTAGAAAAATCCTCTGTTAATAAGTGTACTTTAGAGGAAGTTTGGTTGGATGCAAGCCAAGCCTCCCAAAGTAATACTAAATAATTCTACATTTAAAATTTATGGTAAATGTTGTGTGTGTGTGGGGAACTAGCTCTAAGAACATAAGAGCCCTGCTGGATCAGACAAATGTTCCATGCAGTCCAGCATCTTGTCTCACACAGCGGCCAGTCAGCTCATTTGGAGGTCCAACAACAGGGCTCAGAGACTGAGGCCTCCTGGTTACTGGTATTCAGAGATTTACTGCCTCTGAATGTGCAGGTCTCCTTTAGCCATCATGGCTAGAAGCCACTGAAAAAACTATCCTCCATGAATCCTTCTGCTCACCTTTTGAAGTACCTACAGCTGGGGCCATCACTACTAGGGGTGTGCGTTTGGCAAAACGGAACAGAAATTTTATCCTCTCAAACATTTTTCTTGCTCCTATACCAGGAAAATCCTCTGGCTCTCATACAGCAGCTATCGGTCATGAAGTCACGTTACAAAATGTTGTGCGATAGGCTTGACAGGATTTCTGCCGAGCAGCAAGAGTCAATGCGTTCTATCAATGCTACCCTCAATAAAACACTTATGCTGGTTCAGAAGATACAGCAGCATGCTGGGATTGAGGTGATGCTTTCTGGTGTATTTCCTTTCTTGTATCTATTGATCCTGTGCAGCTTACAGGAATCCCAAAACCAATATAAAAAACAAATGTTCCTTGGGGGAGGGGATTCTCGGCTGCAGCTGGATCTAGCCACGGTGGCCCCTTCAGTGATTGGTGGAGGCATAAGGGCTCTCTGTGAACATAAGAACATAAGAGAAGCCAGTGTTGGATCAGACTAATGGGCCTTCCAATCCAACGCTCTGTCACACAGTTGCCAAAAATACCAGATGGGATCTGGGTATGATGGAGGAACACCTGGCTGTCTCCTGGCCTGCTACAGATGGCCTGATCAATTTATCTGTGGAATTTCTGTACTGAATCGCCAGAAAATTCAACTCAAAGCCGTTAACAGGCAGTTTTTAAAAATCACAATACAATAGAGTTAAGAGCAAACAATAAAATCATAGCAAATCTAAGACTCTTCATATGGGAGATGTGAGAGCTGCATTTTTTTCCCTTCTGAAACTGCTGTCTGTTAAATGTCTTCTAATGGCGGCAGCAGTGATGGAAGATAGGGGGCCCTGGGTTTTGTAGCGCCCCCCCCCCTGCTGACGGTTGGATTTCCATCACAGCAGCAGTGATGAAACTTGGCAGCCCTGGTAACATAACACACCTGGGACTTCTAATGTTCCTTCCATAAAATTTTTACAGAGTTCTCTGTATGATTACCAGTAAAGGTAGGCAAGCTTCAGAAAAGTCTGTTTGCTTCTTGTTACTACAGTCTGAAACTTCAGGGGAACACTAAGCATTTTCCTGGGCCCAGTCCGTGTTGGGCAGTGTCAGGCTGGGCCAGCACCAGGACAAACTGTACTGTGCACTCCAGCAATAGTCTAGAATCTTTTGCAAAGTGTGAGTGTTCCAGGGTGGTTGCTCTGGGATTCCCAAGTTGATAGATTTCTCTGGAAAAAGCTTACTAAAAATGACTGTCTCTGTTGAATGCAAAGAATTTGGACATGAAACACATTTTGTGCCTCAGGAACTGCAGGAGACTTGCTTAATAACCTGAATTCTTTTATCCTTAGACCTTGCCTCTGTCTGAAGAGCAGCAGCTTGCAATACAGCAGATAAGGTGCCATGCCCTCCAAAAGACAGATGCTCCAGGAAAGCAGGTAATTGGGACCTGAGCACTTGGCTTTTGCGTGGCTTCTTTCTTTCTCAAGGTGCTCCGTATAGGATCCTGACCACGTTCTGTAAAGCCAACTGCCAAGGCCTTCATCTGATAAAAAGACAGCTGCCAGTTTGTCTGCTGTATTTTTGTGGGTGAGCCCTGTAATGTGTTGAAGGGAAGGATGCACATGCATAAAGGAGTGGTGACTGGCCACAGCTATCAATATGTTGCTTATGGTGTGTGCCAGTACTTCTTGGTGCGCCTTCTTGTGTCAGTGTTGCTCATGAATAGACATGGTGCTCAGCACTGTGTGGATTCCATGCAGAAGATTCTGTACCTTGAAAAGAAAGATTCTGCAGCTCATGTTAATTAAGCAACTTGGCAGCACTGTATATCTAATTCACTCCTCCCTACTGGTTCAGCCACCTTTACCTTCTGCACCAGTTCCCAGGTACTGCTTGGGATCGAACCCAGGTAAATTTCCCCTCTGGCTGCCTCCATTGCTTACTATTCTAGGGCAGTCATAATGTCTAGAAATCTCCTTTGTCACATTTTGAGCAAGCATCTGCTTGATCAGTGTGAATGCAATCAAAGCACAGTCTGTCAACCTCTCCACAACCCCATATGTCAGGGATCCCAACGTGGTGCCCACCCACCAAGTGTTAGGTAGTGGGTGGAGCTACATAGGGCTCCTGCCCAGCTGGGCTTCCGATTGCCGGATATTAAAATAACAGTGTTTCAGTGGCATCTGCCACCTTGGCATTTTTGTTCTCTCACTGTTCTTTCCCAGTATATTACATTTATCTCTCTTCTCCCCTGTACTTGGGCTTCCCCTGTAGGCGTGGCTCTGCCTTCTGCAATAGTCATTTTGTGGTTGGGCTGCAGCGGGCTATGCTGATCTGGGTGTCCGCACTAAGTTCGGCATCAACCCTATGTCAGCATTCCAGAGGTGCCCACAGGCTCATAAATGTTGGACCTGACTTATGAGGTTCAGTGGCAGAAGCAGCAGGCTAGAGGCTCTCGCCATGGCATTCTGACTCCACACAAGTTATTTGGTATCTGCAGCAGCATCCTGTAAATTGCCCTCCCTGTTGACATCCCAGTGTTCATACTTTATCAGGGACACCCTCTCTGTCCTGCCCCAACCTTTGGTAATATCTGCCAGCGTGGGAGGCTGTTACCAGTGCACAATATCTTGCTTCGCCCCTTCTAGAGTACTTAGCCATATCCCCCCCCCCCAGTTCCACTGTGCTGTGGGAGGTAAGACTTTCCTCTGAGCAAAGAGACAATAGAAGCAATACCAGTTTCACTGCTGGAAAGAAAGGTGGCAGACTTTGCCTCATATTCAGCTTCCAGGGTCTCAGCACCTTCATCTGCCCCAGGAAGTTCAGGATGTTTTTACTGTCTACACTTCCTGGCTCATTCTGTTCAACTCAAGCACCTATTTTCATATCTTAGCTTGGCCACAAGGTAGTAAAGTTAAGCGTTCTGCTGGGGGAGTTGTACCCTGCCAATACCCTTGGCCTTGCCACCATCCCCAGTCTTTGAGTGTGTGGTAGCTGATGCAGCACATCTGTCATTGAGGGGTGGCGCTCTTTCCTTTCGGAGATGTGTGGCTCTTTAGGAGAGTATGCCGCCCTTCTCTTCATCACTTGCACATTATCCTGTAGCAGTCTAGCAATTGACAGATAGCGGAGAGAAGTCTTGCCCACATTCCACCTGAACTGTACAGTTTATCACGGCACTCCACTACAACAACAGCTGTTGTCCCTTTGTTTATCTAGCCTTTGTATTTGGGTAAATGGTGCTCAGGGACCAAGCTTCTCCTTCCGGGGCACTCCAAAAGGCTGCACATTGGCTTCTTCTGCCAACACAAAGTGCCACAATTAGAACAGGCATAGGGCCAATGCCTTCCAGCTCTATAGGAACCACCAGCTCTCTTGCATCACCCCACTTCAAACACTCTGATCACTAAGGTGGTAAACAGAATTGCCCAAGGTGGGATAATTCATCAGTCTTGGTTTTCCAAGATTCTTAGTTCTGGGATTTCTATCCTGGAGTATCTGCTTTGCATTAAACTCTTTAGATTTGCTGTTCTCTTCCTTGAAGGTGCCACTTAAGCAGCTGTAAACCCTATATACCTTCAGCCTATAGTGAAGAAGCTTCTCGAGGGCCCAGTTAACCCCCCCCCCCACCTATACAGATCTCAGCCAAGGACAAAGGTAGACTGTAAGTTGTTTCCTGGGGCTGTCTAAGAATGCTCAAGTTGACCATGTCCTCAGCATTTCAGTAAAGGCATCCCTCTTGAGGAATGCTGCAGAGCAGCTGCTTGGATTCCTTTAACGTCTTAGATGTTGGACCGTGAACAGATGCTTCCTTTGACAGAGAGCAGTGTTACATGCTGTGCTGCACCTGTCCCTGCCTCCAGCTAATCAACTTGCTAATTTTTCCCCCTCATTGATCAGAAGAAAAACAAGTTGCTTGCCTGATGCTGGTGTTCTGAGTGGTGATCTTTGTAGTGTCCCAGCCTACCCTTTCCCACAACTGATGCTTAAAATTTGGCTGTGGTGACTCCTCCCCCTTGGAGGATGTGCATTGGCCGTGTGGTTTCAAAAAAGGGAGAAAGCTTGTGCCTAAATGCCTAGATCTGGAATGGCCCAAATTGAAGACTACTCAAAGAACACCAGTGACAGGTAAGCAACCTGCTTCTCTTCCTCCAATAGTGAAAAGGGGCAGAGGAAAGCAACCACTTCTCTATGCCTGAAATCTGGGAGATCTTTCTATGCTGGTGGTTGCAAATGTTTATATATATTTTTTTTTAATTAAAAAGTAAGGAAATACACATTTTGTGCTGCTTCTTTGTGTGCATGGAGTTCATAGACCATACCTAGAGGAATATGAGATGAAAGGCATAGCTTGGAATTACAGAAGTGCAAGTGGAGTAGAGTCTGCAAAACAGAACTTTCACATTAGCCTTCTTGCAGCTCCTCCACCAGCTGTTCCTGAAGATTAGGGATCCCACAGAACAGCTTGGAATGTGAAATGGGGAAGTGGTGAAGACACAGCTTATGGTTAGAAAAGGTTGAAGCCCTCCCACTAAAGTGTCTTCTATTTGTGTAAGAGGCTTTGTGGATCCTATCCCCTGTCTAAAGTGCTTTGATCTGTGTTGGCTATTTCATATATGAGCACTCATTGTTTTTTTAAAATAGTCATATTGTAGAATAGATGATATTTTTGCAAAGATTAAACAAGTCTGACAGAAATATGACATAAAGATCAAATTCTAAGCTCCTGAGGCTTTAGAGCAACTTCTTTAAAGTGCAGGGTGTATTTTTTTAGAGGGGGAAAGTATATTGAGTTCCTAATATATTTCAACTTAATTTTCCTCCCTCAGAATTGTCCAAAAGAACACCAGATCCATTGATTCCAGAAGAACTTGCCCAAGTTTAAGTGGCTAGACAAGATTGTGGTTCTTTAAAATTTGCAACTGCTCAGCTTTGGTATCCAGTTCTTTTATACATAGTTCCTAAACTGTTTGCAGGTAACCAAGATTGCTGAGGTGTAAGTTGATGTATGCCTGTAATCATGATATTGTGTAACATTCTGAAAATTGGTTAACTGTCAAAATGGTGGTGTTTTGTTCTGGAAGCTGTTGTCCTATGGATATTTGCAAATAGTGGCTTTAGGCTGCATCATGATGGTGTGAACTACAATATGCATGCATAGATACTACTTGCAAACTAAATATTGAATAGATTAAATAAAACAAAATGGGCTTTGAGCTCTTTTTTGAACTGCTATCTCTGTGGTAGGATCTTCTACCTGACTGCTAGAAGTAACTTGGAGATTGGCTACTGTGTCTGTTGGATCCTGGTTTTGCTTCTCAGTGTCACAGATCCTAAGTGGCCCTCTTTCTAAAATGCAATAAACCCACAGTTGTCTTGAATGGAAACAACACAAGAATTGCACTTGGTGAATTGCACTTATTCAGCCAAAATACTCATGGGCTGCCTTGCCCATGTCTTTTTTTAAATAATAAAATTTAGGGCATACACTATAAACATTACACACTCTCACAAATGACAAGATGGGACGTGTCCTAAAACAAAGCTTCCCTTCGCATCAAAATATAACAGCAAGCATTTTTTTAAAAAGGCTCTCTTTTCACAGTGGCTCATTCAAAACACACATGAATTTGGGCTGCTTCTGTTAGTATAATCAAAGCCAGAGCTTATGAACTCAAATAAAAATGACATGATTATGACTTTTCAAAACTTGTGGTCTCCAGTTGTAGCTTGAGTTAAAGGTAGATATTGTTATTGTTGTTCAGTCGCACAGTACACCAGAAAATGTAACATCCATAAAAAAGTGGAAAATGCATTTTGGCTTAGCTAACTCTTGAAGGGGTTGCCAACTGATTACAAAAGGCAGTTTAGTGACATATGCTCAATACTGGAAACAGGATAAAGTTTTAGAAGTTGGAGAATGGATAAAAAAACTACTTTTTATGGTTGAAATGGACAAAATGACAAGGAAACTTAAAACTTGGAGGCAGAAGAATTATTTCAGACTGGAAAGACCTTAAAGAATACTTAGAGAAATATTGGGATGTAAAGGACAGTTTGCGTTGCTTTGATAATTATCGAAAATTAAAAGGTTAATAGAATAGAGATAAATGTATATGAAGAGAAGATATGGGCTGGAGGGTGGAGCACTGTGGGAAGCTGAAAAGGGGGGGGCAGCTGACAGAGGCTGTGAGCGTTTAAAGCAGTGAAAAGAGAGAAAACCGAGGGTCTTAAGCCAGCTGGATTTGGCAGGGAGGATTCCACGTGGAATCTCTAGCTGTGATAAGGGTAGAGCAATATTAATGAGATCACAGGCACCTCAAGAATATTTTGATGAGGACTATGGGAGTGAAAGAAAAACAAACAAGGAAACAAACAAAAACCCATTCCACAAGAAGTTCAGGCTCTTACAGCTAAACAGCTAGTAGGCATCTGTGGGGTTGGAAAGACGGAAGAGTTGAAGGTCAGTATGAATAGTTGGAAGTTGATTAATACAGCATTGGCCTAAAAGAAAATTGACAGTCTGTAATAAGATCTGCTAGATGCTTTGCAGTAATGAAAGCTAATAATAATAATAAAAACTTAGGTCAGTAGAGAAATGAGTGCAGAGGAGTTGTGCAGGAGAAGTACCTTCTGGGAAGGTCTGAGGAAGATTAGTCCATAATTGAACTTGAAGAATTCCAGTGTAATCTGGGTCTATTACTCCAGGGATTACAAAAATCCCTTTTTTGCTGTTAGATGAGCATGGAAGAATAAGTCCCACATGCCCAGCAGGAAGGGGACCAGAGATTTGTGAGGGTACCACTATAACTTCTCCTGGGAATATAAAATGCACTGGCTGTTTTAAAATCAAGTCAATTCTAGCGCTATTTTTGGTGGCACTGGGTGTAGTTAAGACAGAGCTTCCCCCTGAGGAGGATTTGACTTCATGCTCCCTGTTTATACTTTGTAAGCTCATGTCCTGAATTCCCTTGTGCACTTCTGTTAAAATAGGATAGGAAATGGGTTGGTATTCCACTATGTTATTCCCAGCTTCATCTTGGTCTCTAGTGAGATGCACTGGACACACAGATAACATTTCAGAAATCTCTTTACTTTCTTCCAAGTAAGGGTTCTCATTTTTTAAGTGATCCATAAGAACACTTTGTGGAGAAGGGTGTAAGGGGTGGAGGAGTTTTATCTGGTGGAACCACAGGTGATGGCTTTTGAGGCATTGAGGGTAAAGACTCTAAAATTGTTGGCACTGAAGATTCTAAGGCTTTTGGTGCCAAAGGCAGTGTTGGTGCTAAAGGCACAAGTGGTGCAGGAGGCAGTGGCTTAGGTAAAACCAATTGAGCCCCCTGAGAAAAGGCAAAGGAGCCTTCTATACTGCATGTCAGAGAAGCCAGCGAAGAAACAAGTGCTATGGCTTCTAAAAGACCATGTACATAAGAACTTTGAATACCTGTATCCTGGATTCCTTTATGGAGTTCCGTTAAAAGGGTATAAGACAAAGGTTTATATTCAACAATCTGATTACCCTGCGCATCCTGTCCAGCAACATGTACTGGGCAGACACTTAACATTTCTGTTAATTCTTCAAGATCCCCATCCTCCTCCTGTAATTTAGTCTCTAGGACTTCTCTAACAACCCGACCAGGAATCTGAGATGATTGGCGTGGGGTTAAAGCAGAAGGTGCAGAGGAATAATCAGACCTACTGGTCCCAGAGTCCAACAAGGTTGGAGCTGAGAGAGAAGTAGAGGGGGGTTTTGGGGTGGCCAGCTGACAGACCGAATAGGAGGGAGGAGGACACACTGTTAACTGCGTCCTCGGCTGAGCGGGTGCAAAAGTTTCAACCGCATATCGGCATTGATGCCAGACCTGAAGTAGCTCTACAGGAGCTCTTGGGGGACCATGTAAAACCTTCCCCACTTTTTCCCAATCCCGGAGTCTTAAGGACCCCTCTTCCAGGTAGGAGGGACATTACCTATGGATTTCTCCTAACAAACCCTTGACTTGCCGCAGAGATGCGGTCCCGCCGGATCTCTGAAGCAAATAATGGAGTTCTTCGGCATGCTTTCTCTGAGGGATTGTCAAATCACCCCCCATACTCACCAGTGAAGGGGTCGCAGCAGACGCGATGAAGGAGTGCACTCAGGGACCTGTTCCAGGTGCTGGTGAGCCAGGTGTGTTCCTTAGTGTCCCTGTTCGGGCACCACATGAAAGAATCACAGAGACAGCTCTCTCGAGGGTAGAGAAATCAGTCTGCCTCTCAAGGCAGCAAGCAGTTTATTTTATGCACACTCTGCCTCCCCCCCACCCACCGTGCGGTAAGGTTGGGGGTCACGTACAGAAACCAGAGAAACCAGATATGTCTTAAGGATGCTGACATAGTACAAATAATTAACAAGCTACCTTCTTGGACATGTGCAAAGCACTTTCAATGGATTTCCATTTCCAAAATGTTCTAAGATGTTCTTCTGCTCGTAGTTTCCTTATGGCAACAACTCGATGGTGGATCATGGGGCCAGGTGCTGCAATGCTTCAGCTTCAGTATCTGGCCTTCCAGGGAACAGTCAGGGCTGATTTCTTTTAGGATTGACTGATTTGATCTCCTTGCAGTCCAAGGGACTCTCAACAGTCTCAAGGTAGATATGCAAAGTACTATTTAAAAACCTAAAAGACTAAAAGACTATAGCCAGTTTGGTGTAGTGGTTAGGAGCATGGACTCAAAGCTGGGAGAACCGGGTTTGATTCCCCACGCCTCCACTTGCAGCTGCTGGTGTGACCTTGGGTCAGTCACAAGCTCTGGCACAGCTGTCCTTGAAAAAGAGCCGTTTGTGTCAGAGCTCTCTCAGCCCCACCTACCTCACAGGGTGTCTGTTGTGGGGAGGGGAAGGGAAAGGAGTCTGTAAGCCGCTCTGAGACTCCAAGTGAAGGGCGGGATATAAATCCAATCTCTTCTCTTCTTCTTCTTCTCTATACAGTGTCAGATCCTACTAGCTTTTCTGCTGGCAAGAGTAGAAACATGGTGCTATTTAATTCCCCTCCTCACTGTAGTGAATCTCACATGGCTCTCTGTTCTCCCTGGCACAACATTGGGGGGGGGTCAGAAGGGACCCCTCTTGTGCTATCAGAAAAATTGCTGGATGCAATATATAGTGCCTCAGTAGTTCATGCCCTTTTAAATTTTATGGCTGATTTACCTTTTAGCATTGTTTTGGACTACTGAACTCTGGAATTGGCTGTAACCCACATTTTCCATATTTGCGCTATCTAATCTGTTCTGTGGATTGCACAAGTGAGATCTAATGGCTGAGTCTGTGATTGTTAAATTTACAGCTTAGAAGATGCTTTTTCTAGAAGTGAAAAATTCTAGATGGGTTCTGCAGCAAAACCTTTGATTACTCTTATGAAAGACACTTCTAGTGATTCAGGTGTACCCAATCTTCCTTCCGTTTCCTTTCTGTAGTACATTGAGCACTGCTATGTGGCTTTGGGCCACAGGCTGGCCAAAGTTAAACATGTTGCAATCAGGGAAGCAGCAATATAAAAGTTAAACAAGTGCTTAATATATTTAAAAACATTTCTATGCTGCCCTTCCACTCAATTCAGAGTCCCCAAAGTGGCAAACATTTCAAAAATAAATAAATAAAATGATTAAAACATATAGACACACATACAGGGAGGAAGCCTAATAGGGAGGAGGGCTAATAAGAGTTAACGAGGGAATGCTGACCCGACGGAATCCTTGCACTGATGAGAGACAAAACAAACACAGTTTTATACAGAGCTGTTCCAGGCGGAGCCCATTATACTTAGACAGGAATAGCTGTACACTGGATTGCACTGTAAATGTCTGCTGTCAAAATCAGTACAACTCAATTTAACTTTAGGTTTGTATGTTCAATGAGCGAATAATTGTGGGGGGATATAAATAGCAGATTCCAGAGGGGCAGCCAGGATGTTTTGTTACAGTAAACATGAGCTTTATCAACAGATTTATTGTGGCAGAAGCTTTTGTGAACTATAGCCTGCTTTGTCAGATGAATGCAATACTGTAATTGGTCAGCAGAGATTTTGTGTGTGTGTGTTCTCTATCCTGTGTCTCTAACAGTTTGCAGAACAAAGTTTGAGTCCGGTGGCACCTATAAGCAAGGAACCATGTTAGTCTGTCCTTGTAAAAGAAAACAAAAATCCAGTGGAACCTTAAAGACTTTAACATTTATTTCAGTAAGAGCTTTCGTAAGTCACACTTCCTCCTTCAGCTCCTACAATAAATGCTGTTAGTCTTTTAAGGTGCTACTGGATTTTTGTTTTATTAACGGTGACAGCAAATGCCCATGGAAGGCAAGAGTTTTTTAAAAGTGCTTTGCCTATCTATGCAAAATTCAAACGTACTGAAGGAACATTAGAGCTGCTGTGCAGCATTAGGCCTTTGGTCCATTGACGCCAGCATCCCATTTCCAACTGGCCAATCAGATACCACAGGGAAGCCTGCAAACAGCCCTCCCCTGCTGACTGCTCCCCAGCAGCTGAAGGTTCCATTGCCAGAGGATGTTGTGATGGCCACAGGAGTAAACATCTTTAAAAGGTGATTAGAAAGATTCATGGAGGATAAGTCTATCAATAGCTACTAGCCATGGTGACTGAGGAGAACCTCCACATTCAGAGGCACTAAGCCTCTGAATCCCAGAGCCAGGAGGCAACATCAGCGGGGAAAGCCTCAGCTTCTATGCCATATTGTTGGCCATCCAGAGGAAGAGGAAACTGGATTTATACCCCGCCCTTC